CCCTTCTCCTCATCATCTGAGAGAATTTGATGCGCTTCGTCGGGACCAGGAAGCTCAGGCGCGGTTGGCTCATTGTTGCTGAGCCAGGCTTCAAAGGAGGCAGGCTCTGGCTCACCTTGCTCTCTCAAGTACACCACGTACTCGGCATAGCTGTGTGCCATTGCCCAGATGCTATAATCAGCGTCTAGGTACAAGGCAGCCCAAGCAATTTTCATACGGGCGTCGTTATCAGCATCACTCTCAGCAACAAGGCGGTTTTGCTCCGCCTCCAGGGTTGCTGCAAAGTTTTTCTGAGCTTGAGCAGCATCCTTCTCCATCCTCTCAACCTTGGATTTCAGTTTGCCAAGGTCAGCCTGGGTCTTCTTGAGCGCCTCTTCAGCCTGTTTGGCGCTCTCGTCTGCTTTCTTCTGAGCCTCCTCCGCTCCCTTCTTGGCCGTCTCAGCATCCGTTGCCCGCTGGTCGGCCGCCTTCAGATCTAGCTCCAGCTGCTGGATTTTAGACGCTTGTGTCATAATTATTGCTTTAGTTTCAAGTTCATTTACGATAGTTAAGTGTAAAGCAATATTATCAGTGTCTATGGCGGACTTCTTGGCCCTTTTTACCTCTTCCCGTTTGCGGGAATAAGGAAGTTTGAGCCCGTCCACCCGCAGCATGGCCTGCAAAAAGCAGGCGGTGTAAGAATTACAGGCGGGATAATTACTTGGAAAAAATAACATTAATTGACAAGTTTTTTACCTCAGCCAGAAGGGATAGAATGCGTTCAAGATTGAACGTCTCTATCCCAGGGATATTGTCCTTATCCCTCTTCCGGAAGGCATCCAGCATGGCCTTGGCGTGCTTCTGGACGTCTGGCCAGCGGGGAGATTGATCTGCACCACAATCAATACGTGATGAGTGCGAAACTAAGGCAACACCTATCTGTTGCCGACCGTTTGAGGATGACGTCTGTTGGGAGTGGGAGTTCACCCGTAAAGGCCACCCCAGCTCAAGCGGGGATTCAAAAGGGTTCTTACCTTCAAAGCCGGCCAAGCGGGAACCGCTTGCAGGCGTAGTGAACCCCGCAGCTGCTGATAAGGGGTTGACAAGATCAAGGAACACGCTGCCGCCTACCTTCTCGAGTCGCCCCGATATCCGCATCGTCTTAGCCCGGGCTGAGGCACCAGGAGTTGACGCAGAGGCGGACTTTTTTATTTTATCGAGAACGGTTGGGGCCTCCTCTCTAGCCCGTTTGAGATTCTTCTCAAACGATTTCCCAACTTCTCCCCCCTGTGAAAATACATAAGTAAAGGTTAGTATCCGGGCAAGACAGTTTATAAAATAAACTTAAGAAAGGGTCAGGCGCTCAATACCTTGGCCCTGAGCTCGGCCGCAGCTTTCTCCGCAAGATCTTTGCGAATAGTCGCAGAAGACCGCTTGGGAGTTTTCTCCGACTGCAACATGTTTAGCGCTTCTTCTGCAAAAAAGAAAGAAATTGATCAGAATCATAAATCAATTCCGATAGAAAAATACTACATACGGTGTGAACCCAGGCGCATACGTTTATTAAACATGTGCCCTAGCCCGCAGGCGGCTAGGAAACATTCATCCCTGAACCAGGCGCTCTTGGGAATCCAATTCTTAAGGACTTTTATTGTTTCCCCGGTTGACAGAGTTGCGTCTGTGAGGCCGAAAAAGTCTGCCTCGATTATTTTGTCAAAGTCTTCCTCTGGGATCCAGGGAAGAGCGCACTTCCTGCCCAACAAGTCGGGCTTCTTATTGTACAGACGGAATTCATAATTTTCCCGTCTAGATGGGGCTGACATCAAGTAGAACCTGTGCTTCCAGCCATTGAACTTGGAGACCTTGTCCAAGGTCATCATGTATTGCGGCTGTGTGGTTATAGTATACCACGCCCTCCAGCCACCTGGGCTTCTGCTGAGATAATGCATGCTTGCAAAGGCCTCCCAGCCGGGGTTAAGCCCTTGGAACTCGCAGGCTACAACATACCCCAGAATGTTGGTCCAGGAGTTGGGGGTAAGTTGCCAGACCCCAAGGCCGTAGCCTCTCAAAATTGCCTTCACCGCCTGGTGAAGGGGGAAGCGAAGGCCGGCTTTGAACGCCGCCTCATAACAGCCAAAATAATTGTTAGCGTTCTCTTGATCATCCCCCCAAGCGATGGTGCCCAGCTCAAGCGGCACCCGGATCTTATACCCGTCTCCAAGCGGGTGCATTTTCTTAAAGTTCTCTAAGTTCTCCCCCATCTGGATTCGGTCCTTGGAGGAGACGTGGATGCTGAAGGGATCGTCCTTCTCACTCCACTTTTTCCTTTCTTCCTCCTCGCTATCCGGAAGAGGGGGCAAGTCATCGCTGCTCTCGGAGGTAGAGGCGGAGCTGTCGCTCTCCGTCTCCCCCTCGCTTTGGTCCATGGGGGCAGAGGCGGCCTCGTCGCCGCCTTGGTCACACTCTTCCAAGAAAGAGTCAGCAGGGGTTGAAGGGGCGCGCGGAGGGGATCTCTCTAGAGCCGTCTGGTCTCCCTGACCAGACGATTCTCCCTCAGGCGTTTGGCCGCCTGAGCCTTCGCTTCTATAATTCGGATCAGTAGCCGTCTGCATTGTCCAAGCCATGGTGTCCTGCACAGACACATAACTAGTCGGAATCCATGGTACAGGGTGGTCCCAACACCCCGAGCCGGCACTCCCAGTCCTAGACTCAGCCGTCCCTGGTGACCGGCTGGACTCTAACCTAGGCTGTGTCGTGTGTGTTGGTGATGCATCCATTTGCAAGAAATATGTACAAGCGGTGAAAAAAAGAAAAGAGCTGAGAGAGACAGAGACGGTACCTTTGGATTTGATATATGAAGGAAGGCGGGTCCGGTTGGGTTGCGGAAGAACAAAGTTTCTTGCTCGCGCCTGACTCAAACGGATGACTTCTGCTCTCTCAAAGTTTTTCTCTCTAGAAAATTTTTGTAAACGTACAAAATTATGAGGGTAAAACGGCTATATATAGAGGGTAAATTTGGGGGCATTTCCGTAATTTACCCGGAAGATGAACGGTTACTCTGTAACGGTAAAATTACCGCCAGCCGGAGCGTGGCATGTGTCACAGATGCCACGTGGCGTGCCACGTCACATCTGTGAGGGGCAAATGTTTAGGGTAATTCTACCCTGCCACGTGGCCCAATCAGAAGGTGACACGTGTCAGCCCCAGATTGGTCTAAAATGGACCAATCCCTGCTCGACACGTGACATTCCCGAAATCAAGGGATAAGGCGGCCTTCAGGCCCAAATCCCGAGAATGCCGCCAAACGGCGCAACCCACCAATGATTAGGGTTCAGTAACCTAATCAGGGGCACAATTCCCAAAGACCCTATAAATAGGGAGATGTCCTTCATTTTGAGGACACGTTTTTTTTACCATTTATTACACATTTTACTCTTTGATAAAGACATCCTGAGCTTGGAATCCGAGCGGATCCCCACCTAAATTTCCGCACCTTTTTCTCCCTTCAAGTTTCTAACTTGTGCGTCGGAGGCGGAGCACCACCCAACTGGTGTCTCCGTTTGTTTTGCAGGTACAGCTCACCCAGGATCCGTCTTCGTGTTGTAACTCTCCCGAGGGACAAAAACACCCAAAACACTCTTTCTCTCTCCTCTCTTTTTCCCGTTCCAGCCTTTCCTCTCTCTTCTCCTCTTGTTTTTCATTTTTTTCATCAAAAATCCCTAATTTTACACCCTAATCTGCTAGTGAATCTTCATCTCCACATTGTCTAAGGTAATTTACTTGCTAATCTATTCACTTTACCTAACTTTGCTTTGTATTTAGGCGTTTAAATTCTTTGATGTCATCTTAACTTGTTTGCGATTTGAGTTCTTGAATTTCATCTGATTTAATCTCTTGTTTTTGTTTGAAAAGATCTTATTTAAGTTCATTTGTTATTATGTGTTTTGTGTATGCAATTATAATCTGAATTTTTCAATTTACTTCTTTTAATCCGAATTAATTATGCGTGAGATGTTTGCTTATGAGTTCATGAGTGCTTATGTGACCAAATGTGCACCAAATTTGCGTTTTGTTCTAATAAATCTGATTTTATGAGTGAGGTTATGCTAATTTATGTGATTTCTTCATCAATTACAACTTTCTAAGTCGCATAAACAACCCGAAAGTCCAATATATGGGTTTTATATATAATAAGTCTGATCTAATAAGTCGCATGTTAATTTTGTATATAATGTTTTGGTTGTAGCTAATTTATTTGATTTCTTCATCAATTACAACTTTCTAATATTTCTTCTATCATTACATGCGTTTTATTTCTGCTTGTTTATGAGTTTATTTCATTCTCTAATCTTTACTTAGTTTTGTTGTGTTTATGCGTTTTGTTTAGTTTCTGCAATTAGAAGATCTATGTGGAAAAATTATGGGGATGAAGATGAATAATGAAGCCGCCGATACATCGGAGAGTGTACCTTAAGTCCAGCAGCATTGCAGCAGCCAAACCTGTTCTTTTAGTTTATATTTTTAAAATTAGTTGATGTTGGAACTTTTAGGAAGTATTCTAGACATTATTTTGAGTTTATCCTAGCTTAATTATTTATTTGACACCTAATTAGGACTATTGGAAGTATTTTGGATTTTTATTGTTGTATGAACTATGCAGTAGCATTACTTTGACTATGCTTTGATTTTGAAGTTGAAATATGTTTGCTAATGTTGATTACGCTTAAATATTCACAAGATTTAATGTTTGCAGAATTTAACAAATTACAAGTTTATTAATAAAAAATAAAAAAAACCAGGTCAAATCAGGTCGGGTTCAGGTCAACCCGTTTAAAACCAGGTCGGGTTCAGGTTGATTTTTTTGACCTGTTTAAGTAAATAGGTCAGGTTCAGGTTGGGGGGTCCTGACCTGTTTAAGTAAACAGGTCGACCTGAACCCGACCCGACCTGTTTGCCCTGATTTGGAAACCCATATTGGAAACGGTTGTTCAAAGACCCACCCTTTTATTTCTGACACGGATGTAACCCATATTATAACTTGGCGGGTCATGGCTTTAAAGGCCTCCATTCCTATTTTCTACCTCTCTGAGTTATTTAATTGAAGCGCACTCAACGTTCTCTATATTGAAGCATTCGCCGTTGAATCTAATTCTTGTATCCCCCATTGAATCAGCTTCTAAGGTAAGTTGTTTGTTGTTGTTATCATCACATTAGTGCTTTAAGTTTAGGGTTTGTAAATTCTTAGATTATGAAAAATCATATCCAAAAGAAAAGAAAATTATGAGCGTAATTTGATTATTGAATCAATTATCCCTAGAATAATGTATTTTTCGAGATAATTCAACATGAAATTAAATCTCCTCGTTTTTAAGATTGATATATAATTGAAATAATTCAACATGAAATTAAACCTCCTCGTTTTTAATTGATGATTGATATATAATTGATACATTTCAATTTATTTGAGTATATTGAAATTTTTTGGAGTAACTTAAAATGTTAGATTATTTAGATAATTCATAAGTCGATGTCTTGATTGATTTTATGCAAGGTTTTCTGGTGTGGGAATTGCGATCAAAGAAAACGTAATGGCGACAGAGGGAGATACAAGAAAACGTAAAAGAAGAGGTGGAAAGGGTAGAGCCCGCAACAAATCTCACAAAAATAACACAGTTACCTCTTCTTCTACAACCACTACCACTTCTCATTCTAAACAAATAATCCCAAACAAAACCTCTAATTCGTCTTGCTCTATTCCTATTAAATCATCTAATTTTCTTGACAAGGTATTATTTTCTTTTTTGCTTACATCCCTTTTCATTCTAGTTTTAATTTTTAGAATTTTCAATTAATAATTTTTGTTTTTTGTTTTTGGGATTGTATAGATGAAGGCAAGGTTATCAGGTGGACATTTCAGGATGCTCAACGAAAAGCTCTACACTTGCACGTAAAATCTTAATTGCTTTCTACTTTATTTTATTTTTTTTAATTTTTATGCATGATAATTTCTGAAATTTGATGTAGTTTGGCGTAATTTTTTTGTTTTGTGTTGTTGTTAAACTGACTGCTACTTGAATTGATTTACTTACTCCCTCCGTTTCCAATAAAAGTCTTGCACTAACTTTTAGGAAGGTGAATAAATAGGATTCTTGAGTCGGGTTGATTAAAGGCAACTACAATAGACAAGGTACTACTAATAGAGCTTGGTTGTTTAAAAATGAAAAACAAAAGAAAGTAATGGAGTTTGGTTGAATAAAAGTGGATAAATTACTTGTAATATATGAAGGTAGTAGTAAGGGAAGTTTAGGGGGGATTTTGTTAGCACTTGGATGAGAGAAGCCGAGTTCAGGGAAGTACTTACTGAATTTATTGGTTTTAATTCATCTTGTTGGGTTATAATGGTATTGGGACAAGGTTTTTGGTGATCACTTGGTTCGTAACATATGATCAAGTCCTTTGCTTTGTATTGTAAACTGAGTTTTGTGAAGGAACATGGAGATGTTGAAACAAGGTTCTTCTGCAATGCACTTGTCTGAGATTTTTATACAAATGTATATCTTTATTTTATGGTGATGAGGAATTAGTTATGGAATTCTTGAGAGCTAATACCTCATGAGCACGCCCAAGTTGATCTCGCGGATAAACCTTTGACATTTATCAAGGGTCAATTTCGTCAAATTGGCTAGCGAAACTAGGGTAAATCTGTAATTTAATACAGACCAAGAATCTTTTCTTTTAACTTCCTACAAACGACGTTACCCAAAAGTTAGTTAACCATGGTTAACGGGAGTTACCTCCCATGGCCACAACAACAACCTTCTTCGCGACCTTCGCCGCTTCGCGACTATACCGGCCGGCCGACCTAACAATAAGACACCCTAGTAACAAAATATGTAAAGTGGGGCCATATTAACCCTATAGGGGAACGTATGACAAAGAGGGTGGTGGTTAATCGCCATTATCGTGGTTGTGACTTGTGAGGTGGGTTGAATATGGTAGGAACAGTGGGTAGATCTGGTAGCAGCGGCGGGGTCGATCTAAAGGAAGAAGAAGACTAGGTTTGTAGAGGAGAAAGAAGGAAGTGTAGTACTGTTTTTGGGGCTGATTATGGCTTATGGTGAAGATTAGAGCCAAAGTTAGCCAAAGTTCAAGATTCATAGCAACCAAAAAATTAAAAAGTCAAGCATCGAAAAAAAGACAAAAGTACCTTAACTCTAGTTGAGCAAGTTGAGTTAACTCCTAACAGACCTCGCAAAATCGTTTGCTGCTCCGTTTGTTTACTTTTCACGTGGGTTTTCAGAAAAAGTTCTCAGTTTTTTATTGTTTGTTTTCGCTTCCCAAATCCCAGTGGCATTTTATTACAAGAATGTTTATCAAAAAATGTTTATCAAGCGGATCAACTTGTATTTCCTCATACCTCATGAACTCACTTATGGTGATTAAATATCTCAAGAAGTTATTCAAGCTATTGTGTTTAACTATGTATGGTTGCTTACAATTTTCTTGCATATTTGCATAATCATTGTACATAAAGCTTTGGTGATTTCCTGATGTAGTTAACAAGCCATAAAGTATAGTATCAATTTCGATTGTTGAAGGGTTTGAGCCTTTAAGGTGGTCTGATATCATGTAATTCTAATTTCTAACCCATATTAATAAAGATGGGTAAAGTGGCAGATTTAATCAGTGAGTGTTTGTAAAATTAAATGTTTATGGATAAGATTAGTCACTATATTATTCTGTCATGGCAAATTTTCCCCATACTAATACAAACTGGTACTGGTGCGGAATAGAGGCGGAATAGAGGCTGGGTACGAAAGATTTTGCTCAATTATGACTCTCCATACAAATCTAAATTAGAGTAAGGAAGGGAGCTCTTGCACGAATCAGTCTTTAAGGATTATAAAAATGGTCTGATAGTTTTCTTCAATGCATGTGTTTGTGCATCTTTCTCCTGTCTTTGTGCAGCTGTTGGAGTATATTTTCTACTCTCACCTTCAAATTATCGACACGAAAGATCTGGCCTATATCTGAGCTAGTTCCGGGTATTTGTATCCATAGCTCATCCTTGATTTATCTTTTCGACACAGAACATTAAAAGAAAGAGTGATGCAAGGAGGGGAGAACAATTAAAGAATATTTTTGATCTTATGATTGGGGGAGGGGGGGGGGGAGTAGGGGGGAGGTGAAATTTACCTTTTTTTGCTTAGTAGAATGGGGCGTTTGCTAAGAGTATAAATCTCATCACCTTGAAGAGATTTTTACCCCAATAACGAGTGCTCCGCTATGGCGGGAGGTGGGTACTAAGCTTTTCAATTGCGTACAACTTATTTACTTTTGTTTTTTCATCTTGGTGTTGGTAGGAGAAAGGGTACAACATAATATGAACTCTGAAAGAAATTAAAAATCATGTGATACTTTGACATTTGACTTTGGCAGTACTTCCCATTTTCCAATTCTCATTGTCATATTTATTTATATTCTCTCTTTGTTTCAAATTTTTTTTTATTTTTATTTTATTTTATTTTACTTTTTTTCTAAAATTTCAAATATTTTGATAATTTGAGTAAGATTGAAGATATGTTTACTTTAAGTTATCTCCGTTTTTTCTTCATGTCCTTATGCATGCTTTCAAATTAGGACAAAGCTCTTATATTCTTGAAATTTGAACTCTGTATCCATACTTTTATCCGACACTTGTACTCAAGTCCGAGTAACATAGGGTATAGCTAATAGAAGTGGTCTTTGTTTGGGCCTTATGATAGGCCATAATAATAATCTCTCTTATTTGTGGGTTGGTAACTTGAGGCTGCAATCTGCCTACAACTTTGGAGCCCAAATATAGTACAATTATGTAAAGAGCACTATATTTTATTTGGAAATTTTTTTTCTGTTTTTTATAAATGTGATTTAACATTCAGTATAAATACTTTTAAGTTTTAATATAGAATATTTTATTGATGTTGTTTCATTGTATAGGACAATGTCCCCATCCATAATGTTTAGAAGTGCCTAATGGGGATCTACACTTATATTCGATTCTCATGCCCATGTCCATGTAACATAAGGAATTATAATACATTGTTATGCATTAGGCATAGGGAAGAAGTAATATTGGAAGTGCAACATAATTAGTTTAGCTTGGCAGAAAGCAAGGGAGTTGGTTCTTAAACTAAAAGAGATCAGTTAGAGGGTAAGCATGAAAAAAAACATGTAAGAGTTCAATTACTTTTAAAATAAATGTTCTGTTGCCAACGTAGAAATTTGACCAATAATATCAAACAAGTACCCATGTGACTGTTTAATCTTATGTAAATTGCACAAACATGGGTCAAAGTTGTGTAGTAGATTATTGCAAAAGTCAACTAGGGCTTATATTTTGAAATAGAGGTGTGGTTTGGGAGAGAACAAGCCTCTTGAAAGCTTGCACTATTACTCTGTTTTTTATAATTCTCATTTCATAACCCAAACTGCAACATCCAACCAAACACCTATCCCAACTACCCACCTTTTGATACTCATCTAGATCAGATTCATTTTTTTTTCTAAATGTGGTATCCACTTCGCAACATCACAATAAGATATATAATGTGGAGCTGCTACTCATGGGAGAAAGCAAGCCTCTTGAAAGCTTGCTCTTTCGTTTTATTTCCTGTAACTATTCTCATTTTGTAAATCAAATTCATCTTCTTCCTTTAGTTTTTTTTGTCCATAATCCAACTCATTATATAAACAAGCTTTGGTTATCTTGTGGGTATACTTCTATTCTTTTCTTTTCTTTCTTCTTTAGGTACTAGAAGCCATCTCATTCATAGCTTTTTTGGTAGAGCACTTGCCTATATTTCTCCTAAAACCTCCCACGTGGTCATAGTTATTAGTTATAGTTGACAAAGTTGCTTTCTTGGTGGGTCCTTTGAATTTGTTTAAATTATTAATTGGATTTTCCATAAAATGGATCATCTCCTTTCATAGTTGAAATAAGGCATTTTTATTGATTGTGGTAAAAAAAAAAATCATAATTTCAGAAATTATTTAAAGCTCTATTCAATATGAGGTTAAAATCATTAATTTTGTGTTTTTATTTACTAAGGGTTTTAAACAACGTGAAGAGAGGTTGAGAGGAAAGGAAAGTTAGGTTGGAACTTTAAATTGTAAATTGTAAATTGTAAGCTAGTTATATTTTCTGTTTCTATCTTCGTAAATTTTTAAGGCTTCATCATCATTCATAAACCTTGGTTGCAATGCTAGTTTAATGTGTATGGGACCTTAGGGGAGGATTTCTTGACCTTTTAAGTTAAAATCACTGATATCAAGATTAGATTAAGGATATTTTGGACAACCAAAAGAGGAACGATATATGGACAATACTGGATTAGCGAAGTAATGAAGCTATATTGCATTTTCGGTTCCGGTACTTAAAACTTAGGAGCATTGGTGCCTTTGTGCATCAATGTTTCTGGTGATGTATGTTATCATAGTTTTCCATTAATAGCTCTAATTTGTTGCTTGGCTGTTCTTAGTATTGTTTCCTCTAGCATGGGTGTTCACTAGTGCATCCAGCATCACCATTCTTATGTTGGGTAAAAATACCCTATTCATGTGGACCAATTAGAGAGGGCCACGTGTCAAGCATAGATAGGTCCATTTAGGCCATGTCATGATGCTTACTAGAATTGCGGCCTTTAAGACCCAATTCCCAAAAACGCCGTAAAACAGTGCAACCCACCAAATCTAGGTCAAGTGACCTAAGCGAGGGCACATTCTCCAATGATTCTATAAATAGGGAGATATCCCCTAATTTTGGGATACATTCAATTATTTATTACACCTACCCTACATTCGGTTACATCAGAGAACACCTGATCTCGGAATTCGAGAAGATCTCATCTCTCTTTCCGCACTTTCTCCTACTCATACTCCAGTACTAACTTGATCGTCAGAGGCGGA